TCAGGTCCTTGCGCTTGCCAGACATGCACTTATTCTACTGAACTATCTCCCCGGCCCCAAAAAAGCATTTTTAAAAGCTTTTTCTGCACACATTTGGAAATTGAGGAGGGCTCTTCTGTTAGGGTTGCAGAGGTGCCCCCGTGGGAAATGGGTCTCAGGGCCTTTGCTCCTCCACCCACCCTAGAGCCAGGAGGGAGCCTGGCTGCTGCTCCAGACTGAGTCTGTTCAGGCCAAGATGGACCGGCCTGGGCCAGACCAGACCTGGATGGAGCTAGATGGGTCAGAGCAGAGCAGGAGGTCTTCCACTCAGGGCAGGGGTAGATCTGAGTCAGTGAGAGTTTGTATTACAGAAGCGTGTGTGACATATGCCCTGGTCTTTCCCGAAGGGGTCCTCTCCTGGGAGGCTTCCCTGAGTCCTCTGGCAGTCGCTGATCTGAGTGGCATGAGGAGGGGAGAGATGCCCTGAGAAAGTGGAAAGTGTTTCCTCTGTGATCTCTCTCAGTGAGAGGGCGGCACTCTCCTAGAGCACCATATTTAACGCCCACAGGACCTGAACTGCAGGCACAGGCCCTTCTCCCCAGGTCCCAGGAGGCCCTCGAAGGGGTGGCCCTCCGTGGCCGCCATGCTCCCTGACCTGCACGAGGGACCTGCACTCTGCGCCCTAGCGCTGCTCCGCGCATGCGTGCTCAGGGCACTCACATGCACACGCTCTCCATACGCCCCAGGGTTCTGGCTGGTGTGGACCATTATCATCATCCTGAGCTGCTGCTGTGTCTGCCACCACCGCCGCGCCAAGCACCGCCTTCAGGCCCAGCAGCGACAACACGAAATAAACCTGATCGCCTACCGGGAAGCCCACAATTTCTCAGCACTGCCATTTTATTTCAGTAGGTACCCAAAAAGCCACCACACTCTACCCCCAAGCTCAAGAGCAGGATGCAGTGGCTGAAGCCCTCTGGGCTTGGTGGGGGGCGCCCCATCCCCTCACAGAACAGGGTCTCAGGAGTCCTGAGATGGGTGTTCCTCAGCACAGAGGAGCAAGCGCTGAGACCCAGCTCCGTGAAGCTGCCGTGTGGCCCCCATGGTCACCATGGCTGAGTTCTGGCCCGGGTAACTGCTCCTTTAGCGAACTGGTATCTTTTTAGAGCAGATAGTTGGGTATAATATGCATGTGAGTAAACTGAGATTCAGAGCTCAGTGACCTGAATTCCTCCTGTTTGCTTGCTGGCACGTGGCATACTTGGTAGAGGTGGCCGTGAAAAGGGCCAGTGGGGTGGCAGTGGGACTTCCTGAGAGCCAAGAAGCTTGGGGCCACACTAAAGAGCATTCCCCAGACTGCTGGAGTTCTTGACACCTGGCTTCAAGTGACTTTCGAGACCCAGCTGGGCAGTTTATCAGAAAATATAACACAGTGCCTGGCATGTAGGAAATGCTCAATAAATGCTAGCAGTTAGCTGTGAGAGTGGGGTGACTGCCTCTGGGCATGCAAGACATTGAGAAGGTAGCTTGCCAGGCATCTGTTCTGGCCTTGCAAAGCAGGAGGTCCATCCTTGGTTGTGAAGCAGGTGGGGGCTCTCGCATGCAGGCTGGAATCGGTCCCCTCCCAGCTGTCCCTCTTCCTCCACCCAGGTGCTCACAGACCTCTCCCCTGCCCATAACAAGCTGTGGCCATTACTTGGTGGCTATCCTTCGGTGTTGGGAAGGGATTGTGCGTGTGTTTCATGTGGCTTTGCAACCTGTCAAAGGTGATGGCCGATGCAGTAATTTCTCCTCCCTACTTCTCCATTTTAGGGTTTTTGCCAAACTATTTACTACCTCCTTATGAGGAAGTGGTGAACCGCCCTCCGACGCCTCCCCCGCCATATAGTGCCTTCCAGCTCCAGCAGCAACAGCAGCAGCAGCAGCAGCAGCTGCCCCCTCAGTGCAGCCTTGCAAGTGGTGGGTCCCCTGGCACCGATCCCCCCAGGAGCTCCCCTGGGGTGCAGAGCAGTTCCTTGTCTGGGCCCAGCAGAAGTACCCCAAGACCCCCAAGTGTTGCTGACCCTGAGCCCTCTGATATGCCAGCCGACGCAGCCACCAAAGTCCCTGGAATGGAGCTGAGTGGCTCAGTGGCTGGCCTTGGGGAGCTGGAGCCAGGGGCCTTCCTGGGCAAGGATTCAGAGTGCAAGGAGGAGCTGCTGAAAGATTACAGCTCAGAGCAGGGCGGTGCCCTCCCTGATAGCAAGGAGAAGACTCCCGGCAGACATCGCCGCTTCACTGGGGACTCCGGCATTGAGGTGTGTGTGTGCAGCCGCAGCCACCACGATGACGAAGACCTCAAAGAGTTCAGCACGCTCATTGACGATGCTCTGGACGAGCTCCTGGACTTCTGTGACAGCTGCCACGAGCGGCCTCCTGCAGACGAGGAGGAAGGGCTTTGCCAACCCTCCGAGGAGCAGGCTCCAGAGCCGGGGCGCGCCCACCTGCCACGGCCCCCCTCGGGCCTGCTGCTGAACACCATCAATGAGCAGGACTCGCCACAGCCCAAGAGCAGCAGCTCCCCCAGCTAGAGCAGGCCTGCGGCCCAAGGAGGACTAAGCAAGTCACCCGAGCACGGGGCCCACAGAAGCATTAAGGGGCTTTCCTGGGAAGTGGTGGAGCCACTTTGTTCTTTGTTCTTTTCCTTCTCTGCTCCATGTTACTGCACTTCCAGGTACAGTTCGGGGTGTGGACACCTCTGCCCCCCACAGAAAGCGCAGTGTTGTGGAGTGTGGGGAAGCTGGTCCTGTGACTCATTCCTCATGTCCCACCGCACCTGTTTGTCTTTTACAGTCCAGCACCTCCACTTGCTTGGGTCACAGTTGCTTTAAAAGACTTTAGAGCCCCCAAGGAAGGGGCTGGGACTGTGTTCTCAGATGGTTCTTGGCGTGGAGAGAATGTATGCTCTGGTCTTAGTTTAAGAGAACTGTGCTGTGTCTTGGTCCAGGAGAGGGGAGCTGTCTTGACAGAGTCCAGAGAGGCCTGGGGCTTGGTGCCACCTCCCTGAGCGGGCACGTGGGAGCGTCAGGCGGGCTGGTGGGGAGCTCACGTTTGCTCAGCTCCCAGGTGCCACTGCACGTCTCGGACCCTGCGCAGGCTCCGGCTGGTGTCCTGCCAGGAGTGGAGAGAGGCCACTGCCTTCTCTTTGGTGTTTTCTTTACACGCAAGCCACCAAGAACCTTAATAGCAGGCAGGCCAGAGCTCTCCTGTGGACAGGGATCCCTGGGGCTCCTCGGCAGGTTGCCTGTCTCAGAGCCTGGAGGCCGCTGCAGTGTAAGGGGGGAGGCTGACCCTGGGGCAGTGAGGGCCACCTGCAGCTCAGGCCGTCTGTGCCTGCTGTGACCAGCATCCTTCCATCTGAGCATGTGGCCTGCACTGCTCGTGTCTCCCTGTACCCTGTGAACACGCAGAGTGAGGCAGCTGTGAGTCCTAGGACAGGTGGCCCGGGCCCAGTTCTCATACAGTGTTTTCTCTTTTAATTCTTAATACATCTTTTGTTGTTGTTTGTTTGTTTTAAAGTGACCACTTGGAAAAAAATACCTTGGTTACCTGTGTTTCTTGTGTCCTGCCCCGCCCCTGTGGGTTGAGGCAACTCACTTGTCTGTAGCCTATGGAAAGAGGCTTGGGGCCCAGCCAGAGGGCAGAGGCAGCCTCAGGCGGGACAGCAGGACCCTTGTTACTCTAAATGAGAGGGCAGGCAACCGAGACTAACATTCCCCAACCAGCCCTGTTCATAGGAAACCTTTGGGTTTTTCCTGCTCTTGAACCATGATATTCAGACTAGGTGTTAATGTTACAGTAAGAAAAGAAAACAGGATACGTGCACAAAAGCACATTCATGCCTATGAGGTAAATGAGTGTTTCCTTTTGGATTCTACTAAACCAAAACCCAGGTTGAACGAAGAGAAATCTGTACACAGTGACTTTTTGGATGTGTGTGTGTGTGTGTGTGTGTGTGTGTATGTGTGTGTATGTCTATGTCTATGTCAGCGTCAGTCCCAAACTGTGTTCCTGTGAAGATACTTTGAATGGCAGCCGTTCTGCTCACATTAACCCACATCCAGAGCAGACATGGCCCTCTCAAGGTGATGTATTTGTGTGCATTATGTTTACTGAACAAATGACTGGCTGTGTGCTTGGGTATACCAGCACCATTGCCAGCAGCAGCTGCACTTGGCCGAGATGCTGCACTCAAGGAAGGGTCTCCCTCGTCAGTGCGATTTGCACCTGCTGCGTGGCCACTCGGAGGCCTGTGTTTTGCTCCCTGCGGCAGAGCCGACCTCCAAACTTGCCTGCCTCCCTCCGTTGCTCCTCATGCTCCATGTCAGGAGGTCCGCACCGCTCGGGCCTGAAAGCAGAGGTGGCGTTCCAGACAGAAGCTTGGTGGATTCTCAGAGGCAAGCTCGGACAGCTGCAGCCCAGGCGGTGGCCTGCCCAGGACGGTCAGGAGGCCTCAGCGAATGCCGTCGCACCGCAGCGCTCGCCACTTCTGAGCGAGGCCGGGGAGGCCAGGGAGCGACCGTGGGCATCAGCAGCCCTGATACCTTCTTCCACCTTTCTTTCATGTCCCAAAGAGCTCACTGAAGTGCTCCAGAAGAGAAGAAGTCCTACCAAAATGAATCTTCTAAGTGGGTGAATTCTGACCCTCTTACGTCCTTTCTTGTCGCCGCGGGCGCTAGCCTGCAGAGCCCTGCCCTGAAGGCCGCAGTCTGGCCCTGCTGCTGGACGCTGTGTGTTCAGGGAGGAGGGTGTAGTTCGGGGCCCAGGAGACATGAGTGAGTCTGGCTTTCCAGGTCAGTGGGAAGAGGCTTGGTGGCGGGTTTGGTGCTACAGAGGAAGATCTGCAGATGCAGACACATTCCCGCGCGAGGCGCACCACGTTTGTCGGTTCGTGTGCATATGTGTATTTTAAGCAATAAGATTCAGCTAGTCACTTTTCTGGGCAGTTTTGGTGACGCATTTCCTGTGCTGTGGTTGTTCTAAAGACAGAGTGGCTCTAACCACTGTGAGAACCTCAAATAAAAACCAATCCCCAAAGCCCTCCGGTGCTTGCTTCCTGTAGTGCTTGGCTCCTTTTTCCCCTTTCTCCGACCTCAGGCAGTTATGGCCTCAGAGCCCAGCTGCTGGCCCTTTCCGCCACAGACCGGGCAGCGTTCGTAGCCCTGGAGAACAGGGTCTTGGGCCGAACAGCAGTCACGAGGCCAAGGGCAGGCTGGCTGCTGCTGCTTGGTCTGCACCTTGCCCTGAGGAATTTCCCTGCATATCCTGATTCCTGGAATGCTCTTGAAGCCCTGGAAACAGGTTCAGAGCAGCGCCGAGTTTAGTGAGACCCCCAGCCCCGTGGAAACATGACATTTGAAAGGCAGCAAGCACTCAGAGGTCTCTACGTGGATGTTTGGCCTTGAAATTTAATAAGAGTACATCCTGAACTGAGTGCTGTGCTAGATACTGAGAAAGTGCCCAGCGACTAGGAGACAAAGCCCTTACCCAGCCCCTAGAACTGAGCTGGAAAGCCAGATGTCCCTGTGCGAGGTAGTTCACTAAGCCTGCAGGGTAAGATTGGAGTGAGAGATGCAGCCTCAGGCCCTGGGGGAGCAGCAGGTAGCTTGAAGCCTTGAGCACCGGGCGAGAGCAGGAGCCCAGCCGTGCTCCACATGGGTCCAGGCCGGTGACTACACTCGGGCTGGACCAACCGTGAGCCAGACTCCGAACACAGCCCAGGGAAGGGACAGCCTGCCACCTCTGCCCAGGAAGGGGGCACCCTTGGTGCAGGTGGGCAGAGCAAGCTGGTGCACAGTCTGGCATGTCCCCGAAAAGCATCCTGCCTCCCAGGTGCAGTCTCAGGTGTCCAGGTCTGGGTGCTGGTGGTGGGCACTGACCCTGGCCTCGGCCCTGTGGCCTGAGAGTCCAGAGTTAGCTAGACCAGTGCTCTCCCCCATCTTTGTCCTTGGGCTGGAGAGTGCAGCAAGGTGGTGGCTGCCAACTGCCATCTCTTGCTGGGCTTTTCCAGGTGACCCAAATGGAGCATGTTCTCCTCTAGGGATAGTCCTGTTCTGAAACCACAAGGGAGAGAACTGAGGGTATACATTGTTTCTGCCATTCATATATTCATTTTTATAGTACTAGCAATGGAATCCAAGACCTTTACATTGAGCTATATCCATAGCTCTTGACTTTTTTTTTTTTGGTACTAGTAATCAAACCCAGGGCCTTGGGCTTTGCAGACAGCTGTGCCACTGAGCTACATCCTCCCCCCACCCCCTGTTTTTTTTTTACATTTTGAGATAGGATCTAAGTCACCCAGGTTAGGGGATCAAACTGGCAGTCCTCCAGCCACTGCCCCCAGAATGCTGGGATTTTAGGCGCATCCCACTGTGCAGGGCTCCTATATTTTTAGAAGCCGTGGTATGAGTCGTGCATTTCTCACGGGCTGTATATAACTCCCAAAGGTTCAGGCTCGTGGACCAAGGAGGTGTCTGTTGTCCCAAGTGGTCGCGTTCTGGTGGAGACACTAGTAATGCCCCGAAGCACAGGGTAAGGAGAGCTTTGGCAAAAAGGACCAAAGAAGCTCCCTGTTCTTGGTTCCTGTTTCAACCAAGAAACAAAACCAAGGTTTGACCCAGGAGAGGGAAATGGGCCTGGCCAATTTGGCCGGCTCTTGGCCCCAAATTGCAGCCCGGGGACAGGTGGTGCTGGCTTCCCTGGAGCTCAGGCTGTACGGAGCACCTCCTGCACTTGGCACCCAGCAGTGGAAAGCCCTCTGCCATCCACTGGAGCATACCAGGGTCTGGAGAGAGGAAGGCTCGAGGTGCAGTGCCAGCTCGGGTGCCTGGATGCTGCTGACGACACTTGGGCCTACAGGACAGTGCGAGTGGCTTCCTGGGGCAGAAGCTGCTCTTGCCAGCTGAGGGAAGACGTGCAGGGAATGGGAGGCTGAGGTGCTGCAGGCTGCTGAGTACCTTCTGCGGCCAGGTGCTGAAAAGCACCTAAAGGGAAAGGCGTGGGAAGCCTGAGTGGACACCGCCTCTGTGGCCTGGCAAGCGGCCAGCATCATAATCTTTCAGGTGGTGACTGCACTGGGCAGTGGCCTGAGGTGGTGCTGGAGAGGTAAGTAGGAAATAAAAGGTTTTAAGTTAAGTTGTCACGATTGTATTATTTATTGACACAAGGATTTTACACGTGGCAGGCCTCAGTGGCTTCAGATGCTTTCAGCCTCACAAGCACAGGCCAGGCAGAAGTGCGAGACCAGGGGCGGAGGGCGAGTGGTGACCCTGGCTCAGTCCCTGGCCCAGGGAAGCGCTTACTCCACTGAGCCGTCTCGCAGTCCCTAGTCTGCAGCCCAGTCTCCGGGGGCCACACCTCTGCAATCAGGGGCAGCAGCCACCCTTGGGAGTCAGAGCTCTTGGGAGCCTCTTCATACCTTTTCCTTGAAAGTTTTTGGGGCTGGCAAGGTAGCTCAGCAGTCTAAAGCACCTGCTTAGGCAAGCTTAGGCAAAGCACGGAGACCATGGTTTGGTTTGCTCCCTGGCACCACATGCCGCGCCAGCCCCACCCCCAGGTTGGGCTGAGCTGAGCCTGCCACAACAACAAAAGTTTTTGCTGGGCTTTCCTCAAAGGGAAAAAAAAAAAAAATCAGAACTTCTGGTGTGCAAGGGATGGATTTTTTTTTTTTTTTTTTTTTTTTTTTGTGGAACCGGGGATTGAACTCGTGCCCTTGCGCTTGCCAGGGAAGCGCTTATTCCACTGAGCCATCTCCCCGGCCCCCAAGGGATGGATTTTGTTGGATGTTTCTCACCACAGCTCAGTATTCTGCCATTTCGTGTTTGCCACTGAGGCCCAGGAAACCCATCTTGGGGGCACTGGAATGCAGCGACCCAGAGTGGGGTCCTGGGAAGCCAGACCTTAGGCTCCCCAGACCCCACGGCCCACAGGCCAGGGCCTGCTTGAACCTGAAACCTCTGGAGTTGGGGGAAGTTTGTGTAAAACATTCAGAGAACTATTTTTTTGGATTTGAGTAATCAATGATAAAGCCAATCTTTACTAAGGTACCAGTGTCATGTAGTATTTGATCCTTAGCAACATACTGAGATTGGTACTATTCCTACACATGCCCCAGTATTCCTGCACTCTGCCAGTGTTACAGAGAGGAAAATCGAGATTTGGTTTTGTTTGAGACAGGGTCCTGCTATGCTGCAGGCTGGCCTTGAACTTGCTATGTAGCCCAGCCTGATCTCAACCTGTGGTGATTCTCCTGCCTCAGCCTCCTATGTACTGCTGAAAATTGAGACAAGATACTCAAGTAGCCATTGTGGATGCTAGGCCCAGCAGGCCCAGCACCCTGGAGGCTCAGGCAGGAGAACTGCAAGTTGGAGCCAGCCAGGGCAGCTTTGTGAGGTCCTATCTTTAAAAAAGGGCTAGGAACTTACATAGATCAGCACAAAGGATCTGGGTTTAGTCCCCAGTGTCACACACACAAAAGGAGAAGGGCTGGGAAGGACCAGATAAGAGGTCACTCAGTTGGTGAATGACACCGTGAGTACAGTCTGCCTCTACACCATGAGCTCAGCATGCAGGGGAGTCTGGCTCCCTCAGCCCTGCGCATTTCACCCACAGAGCCTCTGACAGCGAACAGGTAGCACTTGTGGAGAGTGACCCCACGGTGTAAGTGGGGGACAGGTCTGGGGAATTAGGCCTAAGACACAGGGCGATGGTGGTCCTCGCCCAGGTTCCCCTCCCCACTGTGCTGACGCTGGACCTGTCCGCTGAGGCAGGTGTGTCTACCACTGCAGGTAGGGCTTCAGAATGGTCACCAGGGAACACCCGCACCCCAGCCTGGACCTAGGTCGTGGGGAAAGGCCCTGTACAGGGGCTGCTGCTTGGAGGGACAGGGACAGTCCACAGCTCCAGGGAGGAGTGGCTCTTTAGCTTCCTAGAACTGACTGAAATGTTCACAAATTTGATGAACTGCTTTTGAGCCACTGATAACCAAATCTTACGATCTAGGCGCTAAGTATGTGAAGCGTCATTTCCAAATTATTTTAATGTACTTTGCAGTGCCCTTGAAGGTGGTAGGTATCGGCGTGATGAGGCCACAATATGAGGACACCTACTATAGGCAGTCAGGTGCCCACAGGAGGACCAGAGGCTGTGGGGCTAATGGCCCCAGGAGATTACAGCCCACACTGGGGCCAGTGGCGCTAGTGTAGGCAAGCCTGCCTCCACACAGACCCTGGGGTCACGGTGGCTACTGCGGTCAGCACTCCAAGCCATGGGGCAGGTCTATGGCCCAGATATGCAGTAGATGAGCTCCCCGGGTTTGTGGAAGACCAGGCTGAGGTAGTCGTGCACCAGGAAAGGGCCCCGGGGTGCACTGCCTGGTGTCCCTAGTGATAATTAATGATGCCGTTTCTCCCCGACTGCCCACCAGGGTGCATTTATTCCCAGCATTTGTTCCCCTTGTAAGGGAGTCTGATTCCCTGAAGCAATGGGGAAGGGTGTCTTCATAATGCCCTTCCAGCTTTGCCAAAACATCCAGGCTTCTTTCTGCACACAGAGCTAGAGTTAACCTATGGGAGCGCCAGTAGCCAGTGATGGCACCTGAGAGCCTGATGTGCAGGACAAAGCACAGGGGATGGCTTAGTCATGAGCTTCTAGGGTGGCCCACAACCTTCTCAAGGCCACACACATGCTCAGATGCACATGGGGCCCAGTACCAAGAAACAGGGTGGAGGACCAGGAGCCGGGAGTCCTGATGGATCCGAAGAGGGCATGCTCGCCTAGTGAGAGGGACCCGAGGACTTGGTGCTGTGTGTTGGTGGGGACAAAGACTTTCACTGAGGGCAGAGGTCACAGGATTATTTTCTGAAAGGACACTGCTTTTCAGAAAGATGCTCTTCCTGGCCCAACACCTGAGGGCCCAGGGCCCTGGAAGCAGGGAGCGCAGGGTGGTCCACTGCACTGCACAAGCAAGCTCTTGACCGGTGCGGCATTCCAGTGCCCCCAAGACGGGTTTCCTGGGCCTCAGTGGCAAACACGAAATGGCAGAATACTGAGCTGTGGTGAGAAACATCCAAGTCTCTGCCCTTCTCTGTCTTGGAGCTCCTTTATCTCTTGGAAAAGACCCAGGAGGAACATGGACATGCCCCATTGGCTGTCGAAGAGCTTCTTGCCTAGCCTGGGCAGAAAGACTGAAGGCTGGGGCCGGGGAGATAGCTCAGTAGAATAAGCACTTGGCCTGGCAAGTGCAAGGACATGGGTTCAATCCCTGGTTCGGCAAAAAAAAAAAAAAAAAAAGCACTGAAGGCTGACCTGCCTGAGGGAGAGCTGGAGCCCGGCTTCTTTAGGCTGGGGGGGTTTCTCCCAGGGAGAAACATTTGTGTGTGGACTGCCCAGGCCAAGGGTTAGAGATACTGCCTTCAGGATTTCCAGGGCACAGGGCTCCATCACCTAGTGAGTAGGCTTTTCAGGATTCTTGGGGTTTTATAGTGGGGAGAAGGGGCAGAACCTGGCACCGATGCAGAAGGCAGCTTTTTTGGCAGGGTTACCCCAAGGGCAAGGTGTGCTGGTCCATGCAGAAGAACCAAGATGGTGCCAGCCTGTGGGCTGCACATCCCTCCAAAGCCAAATCAGTGAGGTACATGCAGTGTGGTTTGTTTGGATCAAAGCCCTATAGCTCTATTTGCAAATACAAACACAACCCTACCACCTCTGGCCACTTCCCTGCTGTGGCCATAGTTGAAGGCCATCCCTACGCCACTTTCATGGACCAGCACATGACCTTCCCAGCTGTTCTTCCCGTTCCCATCTCCTGCCCTTGAGAGACCATACTCCACACACATGTACAAAGCAGAGTGCTCCTTGCAAGTGTGGACCACTGGCTGCCCCCTCCTTCAGCCTGTGGGGACCGAGCCGCCTCCTGCACTGACTGCAGCAGCCTCCCTCATTGGCTCGCCGGGCTTCAGCTCACCTACCTTGCCTACCTCTTCCTCCTCTGTGGGGTTATATCCCCAGACTCCTGGCTCAAGTAGCCATGCCCAACTCATCCTTGTCTTCTTACATGGCCAATGGAATTGACAAGTCTCTGAAGCCCATATCATCAGCCCTTGGTAGGACATGAGGGACCAGCCTGAGTGTCCTGGACCAGGGAATGGACCTGATATGTGTTGAATGAAGTTTTTTTAAAAAATTTTTTTCTTAAAGGTATTTAGTACAGGATGTACAAGGTCTCACTACACAGATTGGACTCATAGTGGTCCTCCTGTTTTCAGCCTCCCAAGCTCTGGGACTACAGGCACGCACCACCATGCCGAGTCTCAGTTGCCGTCTCAGCGCACCCTCGGGGCAAGGCCAGCACGGCAAGCTCAGGATCAAACCTCAGTCCCTGAGTCTGCCTAAGCAGGCACTTTAATGAATGAAGTGGTTTTTGACTGAGTGAATGAGCAATGAATGAGCTGCTCAGGGACCTGTGAAAGAAAAACTGCTCAGTTTATACCATCCGCCTGCTCTGCTGCAGGCTAGGAAGAAGGCAGAGTGGAATGAAGGGGCAGGAATGGCATGGCGCCATGGGAGCAGCAGTTCCGGCTTGGGGCAGAGGAGCCACACGGCGTGGAGGCCAGGACGGCAGGGGCGTCTCTAGGCACTACCCTCGGCCAGAGCATCCTTCCAGGCCTGGCGCACAGTGAGCTTCACCTTGAAAGGGTCAATGAGAAAAACCATCTTGGGGATACCCTCCAGAGAGGGTAGCTGCCCGTCTTCTGGCCCCTCCAGGTCAAACCTCTGCAGCAACCAGGCGGCGAGGAGGAATAACTCCTGGCGAGCCAGAGCCTCCCCTACACAGGAGCGTGGCCCAGCTCCAAAGGGCAAGTAGCTCTGGGAGGGCATGACGATCTGGCTCCCTGCTGGATCCAAGAAGCGCTCTGCGGGCAGAGGGCAGCGTCAGCCAGGGCCCGCGCCAGAGCCATGCCCTGCCCGGGGAGGTGTGCCATGTGCTGCCCGCAAGCAGCCCTTGAGGCAGAGGAAGCAGCCGAGGCAAGGGGCAGGCTGCAGCTGGGAAGTAGGGTGAGGATGCTGCTGGGACCGGGAGGGCCACAGAGAGGCAGCTTTGCCAGCAGCAAGCCTGGCAGAGGGGGTGGAGGATGTGTGAGAAGAGCCCAGGCGGTCTGTGGCCCAAGGAGCAGGTCAGGTCAGAAATGGGTGCTCACCAGGCATGAACTGGTGTGGCCGGTCCCATTCTTCCTCGTTGTGGTGCAGCGCCCACAGATTGACAATCACGGTTGTGTCCTTGTCAATAGTAAACTCCCCAATACTGCCCAGAGAGGGAGAAGGAAATGGTATAGGGGGGTGTGCCCCTTCCCACATGGCCCTGCCTGGGGAAAGAGCCACCGCTCCCTCAGGCCTCTCCTCTCTGCTTCCCTCTGCCTGGAGCAGCTGCGCCAACCCCTCCTCTAGACAAGCACTGTGTCCTGGGACACTGAGCCTGCGGGTGCTGTGTGCTCCCACATGTGTAGGAAGGCTGCCCAGGCCTGGAGCCAGGCCGCTGCTGATCTACACTCAGTGGGCCTATGCGCTGGCCCGGGGCACCCAGGCAGGGACACCGCTGGCCGTGGCTGGCTGTGCACCTCTGCCAGCGACCTAGGGCTGGGTGTCTGGGAGCCACAGGTACCTGGAGTCAGCGTTAGCCTTATGAGGGATGAGCACTGGGGCCGCTGGCCTGATGCGAAGGACCTCGCGGATGGTGGCCTCCAGCATGAGAAGGCGGTTCCGGTCATTGAAGGTTGGCGTGCGGCCAAAACCCACATTCTGGTCAATCTCCTCCTGGATCTTCTTTTTCACCTGGTAGCCCGGGCAAAGTGTGTGTGGTAAGGCTGCATGGCCGGAGAGGAGCCAGGCCATGGCCGGAAGTGGCTGTTCCGAACCTGACCCTTGGAGCTGGGGATTATGGGAAGCAGTAGGGGGGCTCACCTGAGGGTGATGGAGCAGGAAGGCGATGACCCAATTCAAGACAGAACTGGAGGTCTCCACACCAGCCCCAAAGATGTCCCCCAGGATACTGAGAATGTGCTTATCTGAAAATAGACTTGAGTCCTGGTATAGGCCAGAGTTGTTGTTGTCTGCATTCACCTTGGCTTGGATCAGCAGGTCTACCAGGTTGCTGGCAGAGTCACTCTTGAACTTCTCCTGGGTTGGTGAAGTTGGGAGACAGCAGTGAGGAAGCAGGCCCATCCGCAGCCTTCCAGCCGCAGCGGCTCTGGCCCGGGGCGCCCAGGCAGGGACACTGCTGGGGCGCGATGAGCCAGTGGCTGGCTGTGCACCTCTGCCAGCGACCTAGGGCCGGGTGTCTGGGAGCCAAGGGTACCTGGAGTCAGCGTTAGCCTTATGAGGGATGAGCACTGGGGCACCGGCCTAATGTGAAGGACCTCGCGGATGTTCAGAGTCAGGTTCTGAACAGCCACTGCCGGCCATGGCCCGGCTCCTCTCTGTCCTGGTCTAGAGATAGCAAGGTTGGGATAGTGCTTGGGGTGGGGCTGGGCAGGACCTACACACCTGGGGAGGTAGGAAATAACCCTGGGTCCTTGTTAAATTTGGGGGGGGTTGCCTGTGTCCCTCCTAGTGACCCTTCAATGTCTTGTATTAATTGGATCATTTTTTATTATGTACCTGCCATGTGTCAGGCACCTTGCTGGGCTCTGAGGTACTGCAGTGCCCTGAGCCCTGGCCTGCGCATGACCACACTCGGGCCCTCGTCCTCTGTGCCACCTACCTTGCACTGTTTCAGTATTTTACGCAGCAGGACATCTCGAATTTTAACATATTTCTTTATCATTTCTAGGTCCTTATTGGGGAAAATCTGAAAAGAAAGAAATGTCAAGCCCATCCCTCTTCTGCTCCTCTTTTCCAGGCATAAGAGTCCCGGGCAGGCTGAGCTGGCGTTTCCTCTCAGGACGTGGCCCACCTCCCACCTGCCCTACAGCCCAGTGCAAGGCAGGACAGAGAGAGATCGGCGGACCAGGATGACGCCAAGAAGGGCGGCTTTCCTTTCCCTGCCTCGCTCAATCCAACGCCAAGCCCTCATTCTGCTGTGTGCCCAGCCCTTAAATGTCAGGTAAGCTGGCAGAGCGGCCAATGCGGTGGTGCCCCTGTGAGGCAGGCAGAAGGACCGCAAGTCTGGCTCAGCTGGCGCAACCTTGTGACTTAGTGGGACCCCATCTTTCAATGAAAAATAAATAAATAGGGTAAATATTTATTCCATGCAAAGGTGTGGGCTTAATCACTATTACAATTAATCACAAAGTAAAATAAAATGAAATAAAAGATAAACGAGTGTGAAGACTGGGGCAAGCTGTCTAACCTGGTTGAATCGGTTTTCTCGTGTGTACAGTGGTGACAGGACATCACACCTCAGAAACGAATTAAATGGCAAACAAACATAGAGTGCTGCACGTGGCACATGGCAACTGAGAAATCAGTGACAGCCACCAGCTAGAAGGGAACCCGCGGGCCTCACCAGGCAGGCGCAGGGCGGGCGGCCGCTCGGCCCGGAGCCCGCAGCGCTCACGGGTCTGAGCGGGGCGATCGCGGAAGGCGGAGCTGGCGGCTCGCCGCAGCCTGCCAGCGTCTGCACGTGGGGCTGGCTTCATCCTCACCTTCAACCAGGGGAATATGTCCGCCGGGTTGCTGTCGCTCACGTTCTCCAGGAAGCCTTTTGTGAAGCTCTTTATGGTCTTCAACGTGGGGTCCCCGCTCTCGTACGAGATCCCGAAGCATATGGTGCAGATTATGTTGACTATAGCCCTGAAGATGGACGGGGACATGTCTACGTCCTGTCCGTCGCAGGTGGCCAGAAAATCACACAGCAGCCTGGCTTCCTGACAAACTGCGTGGGAGAGGGACGGACGGAAGGCGGCGCTGAGAGGCCGCGGCCGCCAGGAGGCAGCAGGGGCCGGGGCGAGGCGGCCGGGCGCCCGCAGCCTCCCCTCCCGCCCGCGCTCACTGATGTTCTCCAGTTTCTGCTCGCCGTCTCTGAACAGGGTGAAGGTGCTGAGGACCATCTTGCGGTGCAGCTGCCAGGCGGCGCCCGAGTCCGCGAAGGCGATGCCCTTCCCGTTGTCTGACAGGAGGGCTAAAGTCATCTTGGGAGAGCAGGCGAGGCTGTAGAGATCTCCCGCAGCCCGCCCGTCCTGCACCCCCAGCCCCCTCCTCTTCCCGGGAGTCGGCCGGCTCCCGCCGCGCTGACCCCGCTCCACCTAGGGCCGTGCGATCCCGGTAGGACAGTCCCCAAAGGCCCGCTCCCGATTGATTCCAAGGAAGACTGTACAGCGTGGAGAAAGGCAGGAGGCGCCGATTCGGAGTCTGTCGGTCTGTTCCCCCCACCCCGCCCCGCTTGAGGCTGGTGTGGGCGGGATGAGCTCTCACCCCGCCCCGTCGTGAGCTCTCGCCCCGCCCCGTCCTGGGCTCTCGCCCCGCCCACTCCTGGGCTCTCGCCCCGCCCACTCCTGGGCTCTCACCCTGCCCCCTCCTGAGCTCTCGCCCCGCCCCGTCCTGCGCTCTCGCCCCGCCCCCTCCTGAGCTCTCACCCCGCCCCGTCCTGAGCTCTCGCCCCGCCCCGTCCTGAGCTTTCACCCTGCCCGGTCCTGAGGTCCAGAAGCTCAGCCAGCTTGCAGGGACAGTAGCTGCCCGAGCCTCCCCACCTCCCTGGGGCCTCAGGGTGCTGCAGAGCCTCGGCATGTCTCACTGATGTTCACCGTGCGCCCCTGCACCGCACACCCCGCAAATCCCCACCAGCAGGGCACACAGCCCCGCTGCTCCTCCCAGAGGAGCAAGGAAAATGCCCAAGTCTGTCCTCTGCCTTCTGACCGCAGGCCGCAGGACTCCCACGAGCAGCGGCAGAGGGAAGGCGGCTGTCCCCGCGCTGCCGAGCTCAAGGCAAAGCAGCGGGCGCACTCCACAGTCCAATGAAAGTGGGGGCCTGGTGTCCCGCCAGGGTGGCCAGGGGAGGTGCTGGGCTGGACTGGCGACCTGACAGCAAGCTCGGTGGGATCCGCAGCAGCCCCCAGTGCCACCAGAGGTCAGCCTCCAGAGTCACCGGGAAGGCTCTGGGAATACAGCTGCCCCAGCAGGGATGGAAGAGGTAACCATTGCCCTGCTTCCCAGGAAGACAGACATTTCGCGCTGGCTATTCACTGTGCACATCTCCAGGCCTGGGCTGTGTGGTTATCCACAGCATCTCTGTCAATCAGACCCAGAGAGATTTGCATCCAGGTCCAGGGAGAGTGGGGTGAGGGCTCCCAATCCCCGGGCCACTGGTTCCCCCTTGAGTGGTTCCTGCCCAGCCTAAGTGCTGGTGGGTGTGCAGGTCCCTTCTGTCCCTTCTTCCCAGGGGCCTGAGCTTGGGGAATGAGGGCTGTGCAGCTCTAGCCCCATGGGAGGCAGCAGGAGAGACAGCTCTTACCGTCAGCTGTCGTCCTGAGAATTCCTTTCCCCTCTTCACCAACAGCTCCCTGGCCAGCTGGTGGTGACCGATGACCACGATGGTTCTTGAGCCTACACGATAGGAATAGATGGGGCCATATTTTTTCTGCAGATCAAATAAGGACAAGTGGATGTGGCCACCTTTGGGAAGGAAGGGCAGGCTGCCCAGGAGGGGCAGAGATGGAAGGCTCCTTGGGTAGTTGGCACCAGGAGACCTTTGTCTAGGCCAAAAGCAATAAGCCAGGATGAGCCCCAGCAAAGCCACAAGCTCCCACATGGCAGATGGGTGTCAGCAGGCAGGACAGACAGCTGTGGGGTAGAATAGGAGCAGTGACTCCCGCGTGCAAGGAGAGACTTTTAAAGGCTGATCTTCACCTTGATATTGGGTTATCTTTTGGCTTATGAAAGTTTATCTTGGAGTGGAGCCAGGCATGACCCTTATCCCAGAACTGGAGTACAGGAGGAATGGAGCCTCTCAAGGGCTGGCTTAGTCCCAGGGCAGTTCCCTGGAGGGGGACAGGCAGATAAGCGGAGGACGGCTGCTCATCTCCCTGGAGGCCACATCTGTGAGGACCCCAAGTGTGCCAAGAGGCAAGTGGCCTCTGGGTTAGCAATTTAGGTTCCAGGCTTCCAGGAGGTAAAATGAAAACCATGGGATGGAAAACCATGCCAAGTGGGCTACAGCTAGCAGGGCCTGTGGGAAACACTACATCCAGGCTTATCAGCAACATCTGGCTAAGGGCTTCCAAGGACAGTGTTTTACAAGACAGTGACAAGGCAAGAACCTAGATGACCTAATTCCTCATTGGAGAAGTCTTTGTTCAAATTCTAGCTCGCAACTTTCTATCTCTGTGACCTTTTGTGAGTTACTTTTTTTTTGTGGAACTGGGGATTAAACTCAGGCCCTTGTGCTTGCCAGGCAAGCGCTTATTCTACTCAGCCATCTCCTTGGCCCCATGAGTTACTTTAAATTGCCTTTCCTATGATAAAGATATATATAGGATTGGGCTATGTAGCCCAGGCTGGCCTCATGCTGGCAGCGATCCTCCTGCCTCAGCCTCCTGAGTGCTGGGATTATAGGTGTGTGCCATCCTGCCTGGCTTAATGTACCATTTTTTTTTTTATGAGCAGAATATATTTATTGAGAGAAAGAAAGCTCCTGTCCTGAGAGAGGGACAGGAGCGGGGCGGGGGGGCCAAGCGGGTAGTTCCCCCAATAAGATCTCTATGAGTTTTGTTTTGTTTTTTGTTTTTTGTTTTGCGGAACTGGGGATTGAACTCAGGCCCTTGCGTTTGCTGGGGAAGCGCTTATTCCACTGAGCCATCTCCCCAGCCCCTAAATGTACCATTTTTAAACTTAATTTTTATTTATTTATTTTGTAGTATTAGGGACTGAACACAAGGCCTTGTGTATGCTGGGCAAGGACTCTTCCAATAAGCTATATCCCCAGCCCTTTTTATTTTTCACTGGAGACAGGATCTCACTAAGTTGTTGCAGCTGGCCTCAAAATTGGGATTATCTTGCCTTAGCCACCCAAATAACTGGGATCACAGGTGTGTGCCACCATGGTTTTTATTTATTTTTTAACTGATACATAAAACTTAAAAATTGTACAAATTAATGTGATGCATGAGCCAGGGATATAGCTCAAAGGCACAGCACCTTTCTGGCAAGCATGAGGTCATGGGTTTGATTCCTGGTTTAAAAAAAAAGAAAGAAAAAAGAAAAAGAATGACAACAATAATGGGATGCATTTGGTAAAAATTTAATATTTTTACTACATTTTGCTCTTTATTTATTTTGGTCTTTTAAAAAAAATATTTATTTATTTATGTGTGTGTGTGTGGCCAGCTCAGCCCACCAGGGGGCGGGGCTGGCTGGCATGTGGTGCTGGGGGATCGAACCGCGGTCCCTGTGCTTTGCCAAGCTTGTTCCAAGTAGGTGCTTTAGACCACTGAGCCATCTCACCAGCCCCTATTTTGGTCTTTTTGAGACAGAGTCTTGCTACGCATGCTGGTCTTGAACTCGCAGTGATCCTCCCGCCTCAGTGCTGGTTACAGGCGAGCACCACCACTCCTGGCACTGTTGTATTGTTGCAGGCAGCCTGCGTTAGAAAATTGCAGGCTGTCAGACAGGGTCAGGCCCTTGAAGGAATAACCACAGGCAGGTGCCTCACAACTGTGGGAAGGATGGAGGCCCCTGCTGTAAATCGAATCTGAAGACTGGCATCCAGGACTGATCTTCCAGGACTCAGGAAGAATTGTGGTCTGAAGGCCTCCCCAATAAGGTCCTGTTTCACATTCATGCCCGCGTACTATGTGACTCGCTACCCCATTTGGTCTCGGGCCTAATCAATTTTACCTGAGCAAATGGTGCTTGTAATTCCATTTATTGACCATAGTTTAGTCCCACCCTGCATCCTCCTAAGCGATACCCCTTTGTCTCTACCTCAACCCCTCATGGTTTTACACTATAAAAGTCTCTGGAAGAAACAGCTTCCTGGGCAACCCACTTGGGTCCCCCTTCTGTCCCTCTCCGACAGAAGCTTTCCTTTCCAATAAAGTTTTACCCTCAACCTCCGTTTGTTCCTAAAATGCATTCTTCGGTTTTAGAGAACACGAACTCATCCAGGCCAGCTTGGGAGTTTCACTTCCCTGTATCAGTATGTTACGGGTCGGTGCCAAAAGAAATGACCAGAATACCCGATGAATGTAGCCTCAGAGGTCTCGCTGAGATTCGCCTCTCTCCAATTGAGCCCAGAGCCTCAGAAGCATCTCACAGTTATTGAGGGCTCAAGGCAGGCTCAGGAATGTGCATAACTACTTTGGGGAACACAAGCTACCTTCTCTACGGCCTTCCACCATTTGCCTAACACTAAGTTTGCACAATGCTAGTTGGTAACATCCCAGCAAGGGATCAAAGAGACGGTGCCATCAGGGGCTGTCGTCTGCAGCCTTGAACCCCAGCTTGCCAGGATTTACAAGTGAGAGACAGCACCTCTGCTTGGGCTCTGTGTACTGCTCCTTGCTCCCCTGCGACATTAGGCTTTTGTCTCGTGTCTATAATTCTATGTGGTACTGATACAGGGAGAAAAACTGATCTCAGGTGGGTGACCTCCAAATGAATAGGGAGCCTCCGAATGACTTAGGGCAAAAGCATCTCCCAACCTCACCTGCATGAGTTTGTGTTCTTTAAAACCGAAGAATGAGTTTTAGGAACAAATGGAGGTTATGAGCAGAATATATTTATTGAGGGAAAGAAAGCTCCTGTCCGAGAGAGGGACAGGAAGGGCACCCAAACGGGTAGTTCCCCGGGAAGCTGTCTCTTCCAGGGACTTTTATAGTGTAAAACCGTGTGGGGCTGAGGTAGAGAAAGGGGGAGCTCGCTTAGGTGGATGTGGGGTGGGACAAAACTATGGCCAACCAACGGGATTACAAGCAAGCACCATTGTTCAGGTAAAACTGATTAAATCCAGTATCACATGGGAAAGCGAGTCACGTAGCAAGCAGGCATGAGTAGGGCATGAATATGGGACAGGGTCTCTCCCTGTTGGGGGTTGGAATATGGGACAGGGTCTCTCCCTGTTGGGGGTTGGAATATGGGACAGGGTCTCTTCCCGTTGGGGGTTGGGCTAGTGACTCATTTGGGTCTTTTCAGGTGATCGATACCTATTTGAATACCAATCCCAGGTGCTACTCTTTTAGCATTTGTTTGGCCTTTTCCCAGCAGGAGCATCCGCCCCTCCACAGTTGTAAGGCATCCCGTCTTCTGTGCTGTCTCCTTCGAGGGCCTGGCCCTCTGTGACTGCCTGTAATATTTCTGTCTAACTCGGCTGCCTACAACAGTACTATGTTTGACTTTGTATCTCAGGACTGGTAAGTACATTCACAAGCTGTATGACCACCACCACCAGCTATTTCCAACACTCTTTGTCATCTGAAGGAGACGTAGGACCCATTAGCGACTTGCTGCTCCTCTAACCCCTCAAAGCCTGCTTTCTGTTTCCATGAACACGACTGTCTTAAAAGAGGAACCCCTGGTATTCACTAAATCATTATGTCACCAAGGGGCCAGGGATATGGCTCAGTGGAATAAGCGCTTCTCTGGCAAGCGCAAGGGCCTGAGTTCAATCCCCAGTTCTGAAAAAAAAAAAAAAAAAGAAAAGAAAAAAAAATCATTATGTCACCAGGCTGGACTCAAACTTTTGATCCTCCTGCCTCAGCCTCCCCAGGTACTATGATTACAGGTTTGCACCACCACACCCAACTAATGTTTGTCTTTTTTGTTGTTGTTGTTTTTGTATTTTAGGGAAGGGTCTGCAGAGTGTTCAGGGTCTCACTACTAGATCAGACTCGCAGTGATCCACCTGTTTACAGCCTCCCAAGTGCTGGGATTACAGGTGCCTCTACACCCAGTCTCAACTGTCATCTCAGCATGCCCCAGGGGTGGGGCTGGGACAGCAGGCCAGGGATCTAACCCTAACTCCTGGCCTCTGTGCCTATTTGCAGGTGCTTTAACCCACTGGACTATTTGGCTGGCCCTAATGTTTATCTTTTATTTTATTTTTATATTTTTATTTTTGTTTTTTTGCAGTACTAGGTATTGAACTCAGGACCCTGCGCTTGCCAGGCAAGCGCTTATTCTACTGAGCTATCTCCCCAGCCCCCCTAATGTCTATCTTTTGTCTGTGAGTGTTATTTTATATTTTATGTGAGGCCTTGCATACAAACTTTTAGCCACAGAAAGCTGTTAGTATGAGGATATCTAAAGAATCTTCGTAAGGATGCACTCGCTTCTACCTACAGCCTAGTATTGTAGCTTTCTATCTTTAGGACCAGCAGTTATTTTAGGTAGTATTAAAGCCCCCGGCAATTTATTTAATTACTTATGGGACTAAGGATTGAACTCAGGGCCTTCATACTGAGCTGAACTTCCAGCATTTTTATTTGAGGCATGGTTTCCCCAAGTAGCTCAGAGGTGCAGCCCTCCTCCCGCAGCCTCCGGCATGCTGGGATTATGGTTCTGCACCGCCGCGCTCCAGCTGGAAAGAGTATCTAGAAGACGTTAACAGGGCGTTTTGTTTTGGAGACAGCGTCTCTCTATGTAGCCCAGGCTGGGCTTGAAGTCAAGGTGATCTTCTCAGCTCGGCCTCCTGAGTGCTGGGGTCACAGGCTGGTGCCCCACACCCAGCTGTGGTTCCTTTAAGTCGTATCTTAACCCATCTTGCATAACTATATCTGTTAATCTGAGCAACAGATTTGATGATAAAAATAGATA